TAAAGGGTTTATAAAACTAAAAATACAAGACATTAATTACATGTTTTAGATTTAATTGTTCAAAAAATATTACACAATTGAATTTCACTCATAATGAAATCTAACTAATTTATGTAAACAATGAATTAAAATATTCAACTATTGTTAAAATATATTAAATTTACAAAAATTACTGTCAAATCACACATGTAACTGTAGATTATAATAGTTCTTAATAAAAAAAAACATAAAGTAAAGACACAATATACTATTAAATTAACCAAAATATGCATGTACCCTAATGTATTAATCATAAAAAATTGTTAATCACAAAAGAGAATGAATCCCTATTATATAAATAGACGTTAGAATATAAATATGTGAATAATATATTGACTGACACTTGTGGTTGAATTTATACATCAATTAAATTTGTTAAATAATAATAATAATAATAATAATAATAATAATAATAATAATAATAATGATAGTTGGTAAATTCTCATAATATTCTAGTGTTATTGATTAAAAAATTATATTACTATTTCTTAAATAAAACAAATTATTTATATTGAGGTGCACAGAAAATATTTATAAAAGTACATATAAAAAAATAAAATATACAGAAAGAATGTGTAATGTTACAAAGAATGAAAAAAAATATAATAAATAAAAAAGAGTAAATTAAATTTTAATTATAATTATAATATTAAAAAATAAAAATTATTATTTAAAAATTAATAATATAATATATTATTTGCACACATGTTCATGAGTATCTATGTGTCTCTACTTATATACATAAATATATTAATATCTTTTAATTTGATGTTTCTAAAAATTAATATAAAACTAATAAAATTTTATATAATAAAAAATTATCTAGTAGTCAAATAATAATCAATTTTTAAAATATTTTATAAACGATATAAACCGTTAGAGTAGAAGAACATGAACAAAGTTTAAATAAGAGTTTTCACATTAACATAATTCAATTACCATGTTCATTATTTTTCTTTTATTCATCTCCTGAACACCACTAATGCAATAACTTTCATTTATTTATAATAAAGAAAGATGGATAAAGTATTCTTTTTATTTTCACATAAAAATAATGGAAATGGTATTTTATTAAAATAACTTTGTTTGAGTGAATAGAGATAAAATAAAATATTAAATAATACAAAAAATATTGTAATTTTTAATTACTGTTAAAAAATATTATAATTTTGTTTGTTACATAAAAAACGCTTAAAAAATCATGTTTTTATTTTAGTTAAAAATAAACAATACATAAGGAGACACATATATTGTAAAACTAAAAATAGTAAGGAATAATATTATTTATATGATTGTTTAGTATAAATTAGAGAAATGATTTTGATCTAACCGTCTTTAGATTATTATTTTCGTTAATTAAGATTAAACATGGTAAATAGATTAATAAATTAACACACTAATACCACTTTTGTTATATTTTATTGAACTAGCTTTGTTTTGTCAATCAAAATAAATTGAATGTTAAAATATTAATGTTTATTTTATATTACTGCAAGTAAGTGTCTTATGTGTTTTATTTGAATACTTGAGTCAGCTGCAAACATATTATAATAGATTATTAGGTGATCTATAAACTCTTAAAGTAACACATATTTGTAGAACTCTTGGTAAATGCATCTCTGAACACTACAAGAAAAAAGTCTATTACCTACGGAATATTACCTACGGGTAAAAATCCGTAGGTAAATTTTACATTACCTACGGATTTTACCTACAAAAGTATGTTCGTATATAAATTATCTATTACCTACGGAATTTACCTACGGACGGGATGATTATGCATTACCTACGGATGTAGGAGGTAGGTAATGTTTTTTTACTACTTTACCTACTCATTTACCTACGGATGTTAAATAAAAAAAAAGAAAAAAAGAAAAAACCCTCGCTACACTTCCTCCGCGCCTCACTCAAGCTCCCTAACTCCTTCCTTCGTCTCCCTCAATTTCACTAACCTCCTCTATAACCCGCCACCCACCTCCTTCACCAAAACCCTAGCTGCAGCCTCCCTACTCTCGAGCACCCCACACGGTATCCTCATTTGAACCCATATACCCGTCACCACCAGGCTTCTTCCCCGTCACCACCACAACCATAACCGTGCCCTAATTCCACCTTCACTCACCAAAGCTTCTCACCAACGCAGAACCACCCCGCAGTCGCACCACATCTTAGCTTTCAACCTCCAGATTCTCGCCCAATCACCCTCATCGGAACCACCACATCTCACGACTGCGGACCCCCCTTTTCGCAGAAACCCCGTCTTCGCAGCCTCCACTGTGAGGTCGTCGTCCCCTTCGTCGAGCCACCGCAAGGCCAAGTCGCAGTCGCGGCCTCACCCTAATCCAACCTCCACCAAAGCCCCTCGTCATCCACGACAACCACCACCATCGAGCGTCCCAACCCCCACTCCTCACCACTAACGTCTCCACTCTGCTCCACTTCCCTCCTGTGTTGAATCTCTCCCTTCGCCCCAAACCACCGCGCACCACTGCCCATAGCCGGCCACCGCGAACCCAGTCGCAAATCAACCTCCAGGTCAGGACGCCACCACACCCCCTGTCGCGCAGCATCCCTGCAGCCTGGAACTTGAGTCACCTCGACGCCGGCTACGGTAACCGCCTCTCCTCGCTCCAGCCCACCCCCATTGTGCCACTGAGCTCGCTGTGAGCTAGATGTGAGATATAGAGGCAGCGAGTTAAGCCTGGTATTATGCTTTAATCCTATTTCTTTCACATTTTTTGGAGTCTGAACTGTTCTGCTTAGTTAACTATTAAGCCCGGGTCTGGTTTATTTGCATATGAATCATTTAATTGGTGGCTCTGTTAGTTGAATAAGATCTTGGTTTATTAAGGTTTTTTGTACCGTTATTTCTATTTAGTTTGGCTTGAATCTGTGGTTTTCACTTGATGAGGTTGAGACTCGGTGTTATCCAAGTCCTATTGGCTTGGTTCATGTCTCTGTGGCTTAGTTTCTTGGTGGGTGAGTTAAGAATGTGTTTCCACCTTACAAATGCTTCATAATCATGACCCCAAAAAACTTACATTATGGCCATATAAAATCCATTTAGGATTAGTTTTAGCAGTAAAACTTACATTATGTAAGCTGATTCAGTGTGAATTTGTTATGATGAAGATAATATTTTCATAATGTTCTATTAGTATGTTGCTGATTAAGAATCATCAATGTTTAAAAAGTATGAATTTGTTATGATGAAGATATTCTGTTTTCCTAATTCATCAAACCATCTGCTTCAAACTGCTGTTGAAAAATTCTTATAACGCACACACGTAGTAAGTTAGCTAATGATTAAGTTAATGTGAAAAGGCCAAGTTAAAATGATTGGAAGATCAATCCTAGGTTCGGACAAGATGAACATTTTGATGGAACTTTTCATAGTAAAACGTTGCTGGGTAAATGCATATTGCTTGTTTATATTTTCAAAAAGAATGGAAACCAAACTTCTCCACCAGTTTCGTTCGCAGTTGAATATTCTCAGTGGTTGAGAATGGAAGATTAGGTCATAAGTTAGAAAATAAAGGGAAGGGAAGTGGATACTCATGAATACCCTGATATGCCTTCAACTCTGGTGGGTGATTGGAGTCAAATTTAACTAAACTCAACTTTGTTAGTTTGTTGGATATTTTGAATTTCTTTAGCGTATCTGTAAGTTGATAAAATATTTTTTGTGGATATGGTTGTTTAACTGATGAATGTAATTGTTTCCATGTGTGCTTGTGAACAAATCATGCTACTTAACATGCCTCCATGGCCCCTCTCCTCCATATTCCTGTTATGCTTAGATTAATTGACCCATGCATTTAGTTATGTGTCATTCTGACTTAATTATTGATGAGTAAGTAGATTCTGTTTGTAAAAATATTACATCATATATGTGAACACAGTTAATCCCCATGTTAGTTGTTAGAACATTAAGCATGTACAATGAAATTTTACCGGGACAATTTGAATTTTGTTATATATTTTTTGTGTGAATCTTGTGTGCTTCTCAGTAGAAAATCCTCTCTGCTGAAGACCTAATTTGTAAATGTGTCTTCTCAGTTGGGGTGCATTGGTTTTTACTTTTCTGTTTAATTGTTCTGTACCATGGAATGCTTTAACTTAGCTCTTGTTATCATACTGTTGTGTGTTCAACAGTTAGAAAAACTAGTTCAATTACTTTTTGTTTACATGAACCTATTTTAGAGAGGGAGAAATATACTGTACCTTCAAGTACTATCTGATTGTTAAGTGACATTTTTGTAGTTGCTGTGGAACTGGCTACGTTGTATACAATCACCTAACTTATGACAGAACAATCATACATAACAAATGGAAGATATACACATCATACATAATATACAACACAATGTTCATTATCTTATGACAGAACAATCACCTAACTTTTTCTTCAATAATGCTAAACTGAGAACAGGATAATGTTAAGCAGTGGAATAAAAAAGTCATTTTGCGCAATTGGTATGAGATATATGTAGATCAATTTATCAGTTCAATCCAATTATGAGTGATTTTTTTTTTCTTATTGCGACACATAATTTAGAGCGTATGGGTGAGGAGGAATGAGCAGCCAACCTTTCAGCTGTTTGAAGAGCAAACAGCATATAAAAAACTGCTTTGCACAATTTATTGGGTTATTGTTACTTCACAAAGTATATTAGAAGTCAGCTTGAGCAACAGGATAAAAAATTGTTCTTGTTAATTAATTTCTGACATGGCTGTACTGCACTCTAAAAATGGGAATACTACATTGAAATGAACCAAATCACTCCAAAGATTTCGATTTTGGCTTAGCCAAATTGTGTTCCAAGAATCGTAGTTTGGTGTCCATGACAATTGCTAGAGGAACCTTGGGATACATTGCACCCGAAGTTTTCTCTAGGAACTTCGGAAATGTGTCCTATAAGTCCGATATTTACTGATTACTGGAATGTTGCTTGTTAGAAATGGTTGGAGGAAGGAAGAATGTAGACATGTCATCCGCACAAAATTTCCATGTTTTGTACCCAGATTGGATCCATAACCTGGTTGATGGAGACATACACATCAATGTTGAGGATGAAGGTGACGCTAAAATTGCGAAGAAGCTAGCCATTGTTGGACTTTGGTGCATTCGGTGGCAGCCAGTGAACCAGTCCATCCATAAAATCTGTCATACAAATGCTAGAAACTAAAGAGGAAAACCAATTAACTGTGCCTCCTAACCCATTTCACTCAACAACTTCCACTACTGTCGAGGGACTTATTTCGGGAAGAAGACCTTTGGAGTTGGAAGCAATTCAAGAGTGAGAAAGCAATCATAACTCTCATAGTATCAAATTTGTGTTTTGTCGGTTTATTCTCATTAGGAGAGAAAATTAGTATTTTAATTGTAGAAAGGGTAACGAGTGTATTTTAGTTACATTGATGTACACACTTTAATGACATCGAGATAACACTTGTTAGCAGATTGATCTTAATTTTTTTAATGTCATATAAAATTAAAAAGAAAATGCATTGAGAATGGATTATTTACTATACAACTGACAATTCATTATATAATATAATAATAAATATAATATTTAAATAATGTTATTATTCAGTTGTTTGGATTGTGTGGTTGATTACCATGAGGCTATTAGTATGGTTTGCGTTTGAACGTGTCGTGTAATTTCATAGGGGAAGCTTCATAAAAGATAGAAGGATAAAGGGAAGGAAGTGACTCCTCATCCAATTTGAAGATCTTTGTTAGTAGGTAAGTAATTACCTTTGACTTTTCTATATTGAATTTTAAATAATGATTGATTAGCTGGCTATGGATGCCTTGTATTCGAGTGAGGATTGGGGGCAATAAATGTAACATGTAACATGGTTAGTCGAAGGATTGAGTTGTTTGATTATTTTGTTCAATTTGTTTGCATTGATTCAGGATACATATTACCAATCATCATTTAAAATTGATGAATATTTTGTATTATAATTGATGAATATCAATTTATGATGAATATTGTTAGTTTTGTATCTTCATATATTATCAAGATGAGATTAGTTATTTAGTTATTCTAACCTTATTGGCTAAGAGGTTTACATGAGTCCTACATGGAATAGCCTTCAAGTTATTATATTGGTCATTACCAAACACTTGTCAAAATCCTTTCTAATTTTGTACTTTAATTAGTGTAACATTAAAGTTCATATTTTGTAGAACATGGATCAATTTTATGCAAATCGCTATTGGATGTATGATCGAAGCCATAGTAATAGAGGTGGTTTAAAACAAAGTTTTGTTGATGGCGTTGAAGAGTTTGTCATGAAAGTTTCTCAACAAGTTTGTTATCAAAATGAAGGCCAAACGAGATGTCCATGCAATAAATGTCAATGTACAAAGATCTTGCCAATGGAAATGGTTAAACTTCACCTTTATAAAAATGGTTTCATGCCCGATTATTATGTTTGGGTTGATCACGGTGAGGAAATGCCTCATGCTAACAAAAATTGGACACATGCTTCAAGTAGTGGGTTACATTTTTCGAAGATGAGGCATTGATGGCAATGCAGGACATGGTGTATGACGCACTTAGGCAACATGAAACATTTCAACCACCAGAGTCAAATATCATGGAAGAGCCTCCAAATGAAGAAGCTCAAAGATTTTATGATTTGTTGTTGGAAGCGAATAAACCTTTGTTTGAAGGTGCTTTAGACTCCAAACTCGTCCATATGTGTAAGATTGTTAGCTTGCAAATCTAATTGGCATGTTCCTGATCACGCTTTAAATTTCATTATAAAAATGCTTTTGGATGTAACACCCAACAAAAATAGTTTACCAAAAAACTATTACGATGCGAAGAGGTTAGTTTCAAAGTTGGGATTAGAGGCTAAAAGGATCGATTGTTGTGTTAATGGTTGTATGCTTTTTTATGACAATGATTACGGGAAAAATGATGGATCTTTGCTGCAATGCAAATTTTGTCACAAGCCAAGGTATCATGCCCCAAAAGTTGAAACTCGTAAAAATAAACCAATTCCGATTAAGAGCATGTTCTATTTACCTATAATTCCGAGGTTAAAGAGGTTGTATGCATCCATGAAAACGGCTGGACAAATGACATGGCACTATGATAATAAAAGACCAGAAGGTGTGTTGTGTCATCCATCTGATGGTAAAGCTTGGAAGCATTTTGATCAAGTTTATCCAGATTTTGCTGCTGAACCACGCAATATAAGACTAGGTCTATGTTCTGATGGATTTAATCCATATATTGAAGCATCTGCCACGCCCTATTCTTGTTGGCCAGTAATTATGACCCCATATAATCTTCCTCCTGAAATATGTATGTCCAAACCTTATATGTTTTTGACATGCCTCATTCCTGGTCCACGTAATCCAAAGTCATGTATTGATGTGTATTTACAACCTTTGATTGATGATCTGATGCAATTGTGGAGAGGAGTTGAAACATATGATATTTCAAGGAAACAAAATTTTGTAATGAGGGCTAGTTTGATGTGGACTATTAATGATTTTCCTGCATATGGTATGTTGTCAGGTTGGAGGACTCAAGGTAAACTAGCCTGCCCGCATTGCATGGGGGATACAAAGGCCTTTACATTGCAGAATGGGAGGAAAAATAGTTGGTTTGATTCACACCGTAGGTTCTTGCCCAAAAATCATGTATTTAGAAGGAATAAAAAAGCTTTTAAAAAGGGAAAAATTGAAACTAATGACCCACCATGTACATTGACATCCGAGCAAGTTTGGAGTATAATTATGGATGTACCCAAAGTCATAGATTACCCTCATATGAACAAGTTACCAGGCTATGGGGAATGGCATAATTGGACAAAAAGAAGTATCTTTTGGGATTTGCCGTATTGGAAGAATAATTTATTGAGGCACAATCTTGATGTTATGCACATAGAGAAAAATTTCTTTGATAATATATTCAACACTGTCATGAATGTCAAAGGTAAGACAAAAGATAATGATAAGGCAAGGAAGGACCTAGCTTTGTATTGTTGTAGACCAGATTTAGAGTTGAAGTTGCAGGCTAATGGGAAGATGGTAAAGCCAAAAGCAAATTATACTTTAACTGCAGAGGAAGCAAAGTTAGTTTGTCATTGGATCAAGGAACTTAGAATGCCTGATGGTTATTCATCCAACTTAGCAAGATGTGCCGATGTAGACAAGGGAAGGATGCATGGGATGAAGAGCCACGATTGTCATGTTTTTATGGAGTGTTTACTCCCTATTGCATTTAGTTCATTACCAGTGCATGCTTGGAACCCTCTTACTCGAAGTGAGCCATTTTTTTAAAGATTTGTGTTCTACAACATTGAGGCATCATGACTTGGCTAAAATGGAAGAAAATATTCCAATAATTCTTTGTAAGTTGGAGAGAATATTTCCCCCTGCATTCTTTGATTCAATGGAACACTTACCTATTCATCTTGTGTATGAAGCCAAACTTGGTGGACCAGTTCAATATAGATGGATGTATCCATTTGAAAGGTAAGAAGACTATCATTGATTATGCACAAAATTTGATTTACTAAATATTGAGCTAATATCATCCTCATTTCATTCATTTTATAGATTCATGGGTGATTCTAAACGATCAAGTAAAAATAAAGCTCGTGTTGAAGGATCAATTTGTGCCTCATACTTGCATCGAGAGACAACTCACTTTTGTTCCCATTATTTCAAGAACTTCATTCTATCACCACAGAATAAGAGAAATGAAATACAAGCCGAAATTGAAAGGGATCCATCAATGTTATCTATCTTTAACTTGGTTGGTCGTCACTCAGGAAAGACATCAATTCATTGGTTAACTCAAAAAGAGTGGAACTCGGCTCATGTTCATGTCTTGATCAACTGCACCGAAATTAAGTCATACCTTGAGTGAGTATTTCAAACACTATATTTCATTATTATATCATTTTCTTTTTTAATTAAATTGTTCTCCATCCTTCTCCTATATTTTCATAGTTCCTTCTTGCAATCTGGTCAACCCAATGACTCAAACATGTCCAATCACATACATAGACATTTTCCTCAATGGTTTAAGCATCAAGTATGTATGGTTACATTAATAACTTAGTTTATTAAAATATGCTTAACAACATATGACTATACCTTCTTTACATTTGTAGGTTCATAGTGAGCCTTTAAGTGTAAGAAACATGCACTTAAGGGAGTTGTCGATTGGTCCTTTCACATGTGTCAATAAATGGCACACATACTTTGTCAATGGATACAAATTCCACACTCATGCTTGGACTCGGGGAAAAAAACAATCAATAGTGGTGTACATGTAAAAGGTCTTACGTAAGGAGGTGAAGATGATTTTTATGGCATCATTCAACACATATATGAGCTGCAATATAATACTTCAACCTCCCCGAAGAAAGTGGTGGTATTTTATTGTGAATGGTTTGATCCATCACGTAGAGGTACATTAGTGGATTCTAAATATGGAACTGTAGACATTCGCATGGATAGAAGGTATTTACCATTTGATCCTTTTATCTTGGCACATAATGTTAGACAAGTATATTATATCCCATATCCGAGATCAAGAAAGGACAAACAAGGGTGGTATGTTGCTATAAAAACGAAGCCTAGAGGTCGCATAGAATCTCAAGACATGGAAGATGATGTTCCTTACCAAATGGATGAAATGTCCCATGTAAATGAAGCTATTGAAGTTGAAGGTGTTTTTGGATTGCAACATTCACAAGTTGATGTTGAAGTAGTCCAGGAAGAGGAAGAAGAAGAAGAAGAAGAAGAAGAAGAAGAAGAAGAAGAAGAAGAAGAAGAAGAAGAAGAAGAAGAAGAAGAAGAAGAAGAGGAAGAGGAAGAGGAAGAGGAAGAGGAAGAGGAAGAGGAAGAGGAAGAAGATGAAGATGAAGATGAATAGGATTTGTGTAGTTGAGAAATTGTTCTTTATGAGTTAATTTTTATATTCTACATGATGTAGTTGAGAAAATGTTTATTATGTAGTTGAAAAAATGTTTTCTTTGAGTTAATTTTTCTATTTCATATTATGTATGACGTTACTCCATTGCATAATTGACTATATAAATTTCCTATGTATAGATATGTCATCAGGAGGATGTGACTCACCCCAACCTCCCATGTCTC